AATGCTAATGGAATGGCATTCCTTATCTCTGGAGTATACTTGGCTCAGCCATCCACTGTGGGAGGAAGAGATGGTCATCATAGGACAGGGCTTTTGGAAGTCGAAAGCAGCGTGTGCATGGCATGGCCAAAGTGGAAAGGTCATCCTGAAGACTCTGGTATTCTGGGAAAAGTAGCTAGAGACTGTACTGCCTGAACACTGAAAGAGGTGATTGTTTGAGACAGCTGAACTGACTGAATTATTGCTTACCTCAAAAAGACACACCCAGGCTCACCACAGAGAAGGGCTGCTCTGGGCCACCAGAGCAGCCCCTACCCATGGTGGGTAGGGAGGTGCTCCAGCCAAACTGGTTAATCTTTCACATCCCTACTCTAAATGCTATGGTCCTACAAATAGCCATCATAAAGAAGTGTGACCTCAGCAGTGACATTCCTCACTTTCAGCTTAGAACCATGGAAAGAGCTGGGAAGCGAACCACCTGGGAAAGGTGCTTTGTGATAACTCTTCAGGCTGCCCATTTTGCTGGGCCAATTGTGACAACCTGATAGTGTAGGCTTCAAAATACGAGTATTCCTCCAATTCAGGTTAGAGAGCTGTTTCTGTCTCTGCTCTAGTGCCAAACAGCCCTGCAGGCTTAGGCAAATGGAACCATCCATTACCAGGGCTGACAGCTCTCAGCAAAATAAGACCTTTGTACAAGGAGACAACTTCTTTCTTTCCTTTCTGCTTCCCGTGTGAAATGAGGAAGATACCAAGAGTCCAAAAGATGTAGGTCCCTGCAGGTCTGGTGCACTGATGGATAAGGGAGGTTGGCTGTAGCTCCCTTCAGGGCCAGAAACAATAAGAGGATTTCTAGCTGAGTGATGTGAAACATTTCATCTCCAGGGGTTGAGTGAATGGCCTCTTCAGCATTCCCAGCCCCTACCTGCAAGGGAGCACCAGCCTGAACTAGTAACCCAAATTACGTTCCCATATGGAAAGACTAGTTGTGGGTGTCCTTTATAGGTTTACTTTACAGGGAACATTTGTTCTGATGGTCTGAGGGGGTGCTTAATACTTTCAGTGATAAAACATGATCCAGGAAGGAATATAAATTTCCCTGTATGCTTTGTCAGATAGTATTTTTGATTATTGGCTGTTTGTGTTATAGATACCAGTACTACATTAACTGGTTACTGTTTCCTGAGAGACTTTTTTCCCATGCATTCACAATTGGTTCATTCCACAGCTAACCTTTGGCAGAGGGAAGGAGTATCTAAAACACATCATGGAAGTTCACAAGGAGAAAGGCTATGGTTGTAGCATCTGTAATCGACGATTCGCCTTGAAGGCAACTTACCACGCTCACATGGTCATTCACCGGGAGAACCTGCCTGATCCCAACGTGCAGAAGTAAGATGACATGTCTGACTAATACTGTGTGAACAACTACTTTTTTTAAGATCTTGGTGGTTGTGGCAAATAGGGGTGCTTGATTAGTGAGAGAAAGACACGTACACATTGAAATTCTTGGCTTTTCTCTTTAATGTCAAGGTACCAGGAGAAATCTCTTCAGTTCCTTTGATGATATGAGTAGCTGATGTTTTCTGACATTATTTCAGGTTTATACAGTCAAGGTTCTTATGTCCCATTGGGAACTCTTGCCTCATTATGGGCTACAAGATCAGGTTCTCATTTACTAAAGAGCTAAAATATGCCACTGACTAGCAACATGTCATGTCATATGTAGCAGGGACACAAATAGGCAGATAATAGTTCTGGAGTTTTAAAGTAAATATTTGTAATCAAATAAAAAAAACCACACCATAATTTGAGAGTGCAATACTGCCTGGCCATACTTACTTTCTGATGCACTTGTATGTATTTTAAGGCTTACTTTATTTAAGCCTATTTTACCACACACTTATATTTCAAAAAAAACCTTCCAGTAATAATCTTTTCAAACAAATTTCAGTTGCTGATTGAGATTACTGAAAACATAGTCCCATCACAAAGAGAATGGCAGCATCTGCTTTCTTTGCTGTTTCAGATACATCCACCCATGTGAAATTTGTGGTAGGATTTTTAACAGCATCGGGAATCTGGAACGACATAAACTTATACACACAGGTAACAAAATGTTGTTGTTTCTTTATTATTAATATGAAAGATTTCCTTTTCGGGATGCCTTCTGAAGCCATACTTTTACTTGTCAAGAAGAAACTGGTTATGGTAGTGTACAGTAAGAGCCCATACACTTATTACTATTTAGATGGGTGTATGGTAGGACAATTTGGTAAAGTGTGTATGTATTCTAAATTCGTGAGGGCGAATGATAGCAGAGCATGATTTAGGACAGTTCCTGATTTATATAATTTAGCTTTCCTCCAGTAAAAATGTTGTGTGTCTACTTATCCATGCTGAAATTCTCATCCAGGCATTTATTTCTTCTCACTTTGAGAACTGCAGTTCCTTACATCTCTTTGGCATCCCAGAGTGGCAGTTCCTTACTCCAGCATGTGTAGAAGGCTGCTCCCATCTCCTCTGAGGTGGAGAGGACACAGCTACATCCCTCCATCCTTGAATGAGTTTTCTGGCTCCCCACTGAGCATTTCAGAATGCTGCTGTTCAACACAGGGCTTCTTGGTATTTAACAGTCTTCAGTCTTTTGTTCCTTGTCTCCCCACCTCCTTACTTAGCACTGTTCACTCTTCTGCCCCATTACACGATCTCAGCACTGTTGACACAGAAGCATAAGTCTCTATGGTACATCATCCGACTCTTCTCTGCAGCTTTCTTCTCTCTCTCCCCCTCTCCCTCTCCCTCCCTCCTTGAGTCTTGTTTCAAAACTCAGATGAAAATCTCTCTTCTCTTCCTTGCCTATTTCTCAGAATTCAGTTTGGGATACAGTTTGTATGAGGGGAGCTATTCAGGAGACAGTTGAATTATTGCTCAGTGAATCTATTCCCAAAAGTTTGTCAGCTTTTAGCAACACACTCATTTCCCTTTAGGGATTTGGTTTATATTGCAATAACTTTTTTTTTTTTTTGAAGGTGTAAAAAGTCATGCGTGTGAGCAGTGTGGAAAGTCATTTGCTAGAAAGGACATGTTAAAAGAGCACATGAGAGTCCATGACAACATCCGAGAATACCTGTGTGCGGAATGTGGGAAAGGTACAGATATTGCCTTTGAATTAGACATTTTGGTTAAGTTGCATTTCCCATATTAAAACTAATAGTTTCATTAAATATCAGAGAAGTTCTCAAAGTAATAGGAGTCTTGTATTTTGAATAGGAAACCATGCTGATCAGGATGTTAGGGGCCCGCCTTAATTTTACATCCCTCAGTTTCCTGGCCTGCAGCAAACAAACCTGACTCCTGTCTTGCTGCTTGTTTCAGGAATGCTTACCTGTCTGACTTCCATAGTATTTGCATCCCATAAAAGAGAGAGAACACAGTTTGACTCTGCTTTCTGGGTGGAGCATTCATGAGACAGCAAAAAATGTTTATTCTAACTGCTACTTGAGCAAACTTGAATTGGAAATGCTGCATGACATTAATATGGTGCCTTAGAATGCTTGTCAGATTCACTTCTTTGTGCTTTTCTCTTACTTTCCTTAATTATTGTTTAAATGTTTTTCATTGATTGTTTGGATTAAAAAAAAAAATCCACTATTTAAAGAATGTTTCTAGCTCAGCTATGGGCATTTGTAAACATCTGCTATGGATGAAGTTAGGATCATCTGCTTGAAACATGCTCATCACTCTGGGGTGGGAGGTGATGTGGATAAGTTTTCCTACCATGTTTTCAGCTACATCTTCATGGCTTGCAGGAATGAAGACAAAACATGCTCTGCGTCACCACATGAAACTTCACAAAGGGATTAAGGAATATGAATGCAAGGAATGCCATCGGAAATTCGCGCAGAAAGTCAACATGCTGAAGCATTACAAAAGGCACACAGGTGAAGCAACCAAGAGGGTTGGTCTTCCTGCAGAAGTCCCACTTAATCAGTTAAATGGTTGTTTTGGAAGCAGGGCCTGTTGCCTTATGCCCACTGACAGTGCAGGGGTGGGGTGGGGTGATGGCTATTTTTTAGAGACATGATTGTCTCTGAAGATATTTCATTGGTGTGTTGCTAAAGATCATAAAGTACATTTTAAACTGAGGCCCTGTCAACTAATATATAGTAAATTCAGAATCTGACAATATATACCTAGGGTCGGCCAATGCTTGTTAAATGGCTTCATTATCACTTGAAGTGCTCTTTCACAGGCTCAGGGTTCTGCTAATATGCCTGGCAAGCTAGAATGTGAAGACTTGGGCTTCTCATGAGCAGAGACCTGCCCACTGTTGCTGTTTTTTTAACATAGACCATTGAGTCTAGGATATTCTTTTTGTTTTGAATTAGTGTTTCAACTCTGATCCCTAGAGACACATTTCTCATCCACTGCACCAGCTGCCGTTAGCATCTGCATTTCCTACAGTACCTTTGTAAACTATGATAAAAGTTACTAGTGAAACTGATTTTTTCTAAGATACACAAATGTACCAGATACCTTAATCTGTTATCACTCTAGTGTTCAATGTAATCTCTCCATACAGGGATCAAAGATTTCATGTGTGAGCTCTGTGGGAAGACGTTTAGTGAGAGAAATACAATGGAGACCCATAAACTGATTCATACAGGTTAGTGCTCTCATGCAGTGCGTCGGAAGACAGCAGTTTAATGTTCTGTTTCAGACAATGCTGAGTCAGTCCATGTAGTTTTTTTAGGGCTGTCAAGCGATTAAAAAAATGAATTGTGATTAATTGTGTGTGCTGCCGCTTTGAAATGTTGCAGCAGCGTTTCAAAGGGGCAGCGCTGCAGAAGCCTGGAATCAGCTGGAATCCTCAGTTGAACCCAGGCTCAGTGCAGCTGGCTCTTTGAAATTCAGCAGTGGCGTTTCAAAACGGCAGCACCACAGGAGCCCAGGATCAGCTGGAATCCCCAGCTGACCCTGGCTCCATGCAGCACTGCTCCTTGGAAAAGCCACCCTGGCGTTTCCAAGGGGCAGCACTGCGGGAGCCCAGGGTGAGCTGGAGTTCATGCAGTGCCCCGGGCACTGTGCAGTGCTGCCCCTTTGAAGCGCCGGAGCGGCACTTCAGGGGGCAGCGGAACGCAGAGCTGGGGTCAGCTGGAGTGCCCACTGATCCTTGGCTCCGCATTCTGCTGCCCCTTTAAAGTGCTGCTCCAGTGCTTCAAAGGGGCAGTGTTGCACAGAGCCCCAGGTCAGCTGGGGACTCCAGCTGCTCCCAGGCCCCTAGCACGCTGTCCCTTTGAAGCACTGGAACTGCACTTCAAAGGGGCAGCGCAGCATTAACTCTTTCAATTAACGTGTTAATTTTTTTAACGCATTAATCCTGCCCTGTGTTAATTGCAGGCATTAATACAGATAAATTGACAGCCCTAAATCTTTTTTAAAAAATGGTTCTTAATCCATTATTCTAATATTCACCTTTAGGGGTATCTGCTAACTCCTTTCATTTTATTTGCCACCAGTGGGGAAACAATGGACATGTTCAGTTTGTGATAAGAAGTATGTAACCGATTACATGCTTCAGAAGCACATCCAGTTAACTCACGATAAAGTAGAAGCTCAGAGTTGCCAGCTCTGTGGAACAAAGGTTTCTACCAGAGCTTCAATGAGTCGACACATGAGGCGCAAACATCCAGAGGTGAGATCTATGGCAGATGGATTGTGGCTTATAAATTGACTTGATTTAGCTGTGACTTCAAGTGGAACATCTAGTTACTCCTTCTTGCATTCTGGCAGGATTTATCTTGGTTGTTTCTAGACCAAATGTCTGTGCTGAGCTTGATTTTTCTGCATTAATGGCAATTCCACAACCACCTTGCCCCTCTATGTTCCTTCTAATAGCTGATTCATAAACATTTAATAGTGCCTTTTTACTATTAATTCAACTGTGGGGTTTTTTTCTGCTGCATCTTAACTGTATTTTTCTAGTTTGTCCTTATCAACAGGTGTGGATGATTGATTTCTTTTCCTTTTAAAGCAGCCTTTTCACATGTTTATTGACAGCTATCATGTCTTCCCTTAGAATTCTTTAGTCTAGCTCAAACATGACCTGCTCCTCTTAATTTAGAAACCACAGATCATTATTGTTGTTTTCCCTTGATCTCTGTTGTTTCCCTGTGAAGGCTGGGAAACAAAATAAGAGGCAAAACAAGGCTCTTTCTCTTGTATTAAAACCAAGCTGCATAATAAAGTTCCTGAAATGTGAAGAGCTGGTTGTTTCTGGTCCTCCGTGAACTGAGATTTAGAGATCTTGTTGCATACAGTGGAACACACTGCACTCAGAGACCTATAGTTTATGGGCGCTGCAATTTTTGTTGCTCACTGAGGCATCAGGGCAGAAAAAGGATGGTTTGTTTTCTCCTGAAATTCTTCAGTTTTAATGAGTTATCATCTGCCTAGAAAGTAAGGAAAAAATATGGACTGTAGCAGCTATTATGTTTAAACTAAATTTCAAACTGTGTGGTCACTTTGTTTCTGTTGCAAAATAGGTCCCGTATATTGTGCTTATTTTTTTCCATAAAAAGATTTATGCCAGTGAGATTTTATTACATTTAAATGGTATGGAATTGGTTGCTGTGATTTCAATGAGAGGAAGGAAGATTATAAGATAAGATTATCATCAATAAAAGTGAAACACATTAAACCCATTATGTTTGATTAACCAAATCAGTTAAAATGAGTTGGGCTGCCTGATCTTGTACTGTGTTATTTGTCAGTGGCTACCTCCATTGCTATTATATGCGCTGTACTGACCATAATTTAGCAAGCTGACCAGAATCTGTTTATCTGTAGGTTCTTTCAGTTCGAATTGACGATTTAGAGCAGCTCCCAGAAGCTACCACCATTGATGCCTCATCTATTGGGATTGTTCAGGTAAACTAATCCTAACAGAGTCCTCATTTCTTCTGAGGCTTTGGGACCTTGCAGTTCACATGCTGGTTCCATGGCGCTGAATGTCTGGTGAGCTATCCTAGATACAGTTGAAACATGTTTATGAATGCAGGAGTTGGATTCAGGATCTTGGTTGCACTATGGGCAAATGTTTTGCATTTGTCACAGGCTTATTCTTAATTGAGGATGAACAAATGTCTTTCTGAAGTTGGAAAAACAGGTTTGAAAACTTCGCTCAAACACTGTAGCTTATTATTACAGTAGTGCCTAGACACTCCAGTGGGGATTGTGTTTACATTCTGTTTATAGAAATCATGAAAGAAGCCAGAGAGTAAATGCAAAAAAAAATGGAGCAGAAAGTGGGAAGAGTTAACAAGCATTATTATTAAGCCAATCAGTACTGCCAGTGTGTTTGGCTCTGTGTTGAAAAGATCAGAAAGAGGATCTCTGCTTTCACGGCTGGCAGACCTGTGGTGATGAGACTATCACAAGACAGGTTTGAGCTGGGGCTTTATGGGCCTTGCGGAAGAAGTGTGTTAACGGGGAGAACAGCAAAGAGGAGAATGTGTTCAGATCAGATGTAGGGTTCTGAAAAGGAAAACAAGTGAAGCCCTGACCTTAGTGAAGTCAAGAGAAAAAGCTCCTATTGACTTCAGCTGAGCCAGGACTTCAGAGAAGAGTGGGAGAAGGAAGTGGAAAGAGGGTTGTTAAGCGCTCAGAGAGAGGAACAGGGAGCAAATGAGCTTGAGTAGTATGAGACAGGATGGTCAAAGCTCTAGGGGGAACAAAGTGAGGATGAGGGATAATTTTTATGTTCAGCGAGCAGAAGACGGGAGGAATTCAAAGAGGCACTGAACAATGGTGCAGTGAGTGGAACAGCAGAAACACCAAGAAAAAAAAACAGAGTAAAAGAGAAGAGAGGGTGTGGGCCAGGTGAGAAATAAACATGGAATGAGTGTGAAAGACATTGCAGAGAGGGATTAAAGTTTGAAGGAGCACAATTGCGTGCCTACCATAAGCAAGGGTAAGTCCTTTGCCAGTATCTGAACTGTGTTCAGCATGGTTGGTGGGCAGTGCAAGAACACTATACAGAGATGCTAGTAACCTCTCTGCTTTGTTGTTTAGTGTGGGGTACTGACATTGTAAAGAGTTAATCACAGGGAACTAAACCATTCCCTCCAATCTGGTATATGCCAGATTTTCATGTAGTCTTCCCCGAGGATGGTCAGCAAACCCACCTCTGGTGACAAACTCTCAGATCTTTGCTGAGCTAAATGACTTGAGCAGTGATATTCTGTTGTACTGAACTCTGCTCCTGTAGCCTGAGTTAACCCTGGAACAGGGAGAGTTACCCGAAAGCAGGCAGATGAAAGCTCCTAAACGTGGCCATAAGAGAAAGCAGAAGCCAGGCGAAGAGGAGGAAGTGCAAGTGCCTGAGGATCCTGCCTTCAGTGAATACACAGAGAAAGAAGCTGAATTCACAGGGAATGTGGGAGACGAAACCAATTCAGCTGTACAAAGTATTCAGCAGGTGAGTTTCCATTTGGACAGACATTGCCACAGGGATTGATGCTGATGGAACTCTAAAGGCAAAGGTGAGTGAGCAAGGGATTTAACGCTGAAGGTAGAAATCCCAATTCCAAAAGATACACAAAGATGAGGAGAGGAAGAGGGGCCTGTTTAATCCCCTCCATTGCCACTAAAGTCTTTGGTGCCACCACCTCTTAACGTGCTGAATTCCACCAGCTAGCTGAAACTATGCTTGCAAACTTAATTCAGTGAATCATTATTAATATTATATTTGTCTCTAGCTTGTTAGGTGCTTTCTTATACTTACGGCAGCATTCTGATTTCCTTCTGCATGCTATCCATGGCCAGCAATAGAGGCACCAGAATGGTGTGCAACCAGCTAACCTGTTTTATTTTAAAGCGAGCCAAATAAAAGGTTGAGGTTTTATTTCTGTTTTTCCACAGGTGGTGGTGACCCTTGGCGACCCAAACGTCACAGCCCCTTCTAGTTCTGTTGGTTTGACAAATATTACCGTCACCCCGATTACCACAGCAGCCGGAACCCAATTTACAAACCTCCAGCCAGTGGCTGTGGGCCACCTTAGTACTCCTGAACGCCAGTTACAGCTCGACAATTCAATTCTTACTGTGACATTTGATACTGTCAGTGGTTCTGCCATGCTGCACAATCGCCAAAACGATATTCAGATCCAGCCGCAGCCCGAGGCAGCCAATCCCCAATCTGTGGCCCATTTTATAAACCTGACAACCCTGGTGAACTCCATTGCTCCTCTAGGGAACCAGATTGCAGAGCAGCATCCATTGACATGGAGGGCAGTGCCTCAGACCGATGTCCTGCAGCCCCCATCACAGCAAATACAACAGCAGTCAGGACAGCAGCAAGTTCAAACAGAGCAGCAACAGCAGATGTACAGCTATTGATTTATACTTGAACAGTCTTGAAATAGATTGGACAATGAGACAGTTTTTAAAAAAAAAAACTGGAAAACTATAAGTGAATTGTTTGCTGGCTACCAAACAGAGATGAAAAAATGTTTATACAATGAAATGTAAACTAAAATTGGCATAGCACCCTGCAACACTGTGGTCTTGAAATTCTCCTACTATTTCTAAATACAGCACCATCCAGAATTTGCATTCTAAACTCAGCACTCCCATATGGCGGTGTGTTTTGTGCAGTAATGGTTCTGGGTTTTAACAACTGTATCTCAATAGAGGGGAAATCACAAAAAGTAAATATGATTAACCCTTCAGCCATAAAATGTAATTGTTTTCCAATTTGGAGGTAAGCATGGAAGTAGTGTATACAGTGAGCTGGGATTCACTGGTTGTCACCTTCTAGAGACTGAAATGTAAAGATCTAATTGAGCCCTCTCCCCCCAAAAAAAGATTGTTTTGTTTTGTTCATCCTTAAGCAGTATTGTATCTAATTGAATATCTGGTTAAGTAAGGGCTAGGGTTTGGGGCTGAAAGTGGGGAGAAGTCTGCAGGGTTAAAGAAAATGTACCCAATTCTTCATCGAGTGCTTGTTCATGTCCATTGCAGTCATGTGTGCATGCCACGTGCCTGGACATTGGGACCTCTTTTTCCTCTAGCAGTTCCCATCAGGTCAGCTGTGGAACCCCCTGGAGTGGCACCTTCATGGTGTTCTATATTTCACCCTGCCAACCAGACCCCCCACCCCTTCAGTTTCTTCTTATTGTCCATGGAAGCATTGGAAATGCATTTCGCTTTTTTAGCAAGTGCTCCCTTAACAGCTCTAATTCTCTGTTTTAGTTATTTGTTAGCTAATTGTAGTTAGTTTTAAGTTCCGTAAGGGGTGAGAGACTTTATTCTAACCCTCACTCATGAGTCTTGTCTACACTGTCTTGGGGAAAAACAACAGTCAGAATGCTGTAACATCCGTAGAGCATTCGGTCTAAGGACCAAGAAAGAACATGAATTCCAATTGAGACAGCTGCTCATGGAATCTGTACTTTATCCCATTCCCCAGGATCACCTGGGTACGGCACCAACCACCTCAGTGAACAGGACCCCAGCCTCTGTCCAAGACACCATGCTGAAGAATGACTCTACTATTTGAGACCCTCAGCACTGCCATTCAATGGCACAGAAACAAGACTGATCAACATCTCCGGTGGCACATAAGTGCCAGAAGCCAGACAGAGGGCCCTTCCCTCATAAAGGACATAATGTGGCACCCATTCAGAGACCAGGTTTCTCATCAAAAAGAGTCAGGACAGTTGAATCCAGTGCCAAAGAGAGCACCATTGAGTCTGGCCTCCAATGTCTCTCTAACAGGGCAGTGCCAAGTGGAAGTAGTAGAACCTTCCACCCAGATGCTTTTGAGGTTGCGAAGGGACCTGATAGAGCTTATCTTAGCCCAACCCTCGGTAACCAGGGACAAGCCTCCAATACCAGCACTCTTCAATGGCACACTGGAACCATACTCGGAACTGATCTTGCTCAACATCATCCCAGCACTATGCTCAGATCCTGTGCGCCTGGCCCTGAGGCATCGTGGCCCTGTTTTGCTGGCACTGAGCATGCATCAGTAGCACTCCCACCTTGCCACCTACAGATGTTCTAGAGCACAGACTCTGCTTTCTGGTGCCACGCACTCAGCACTAGTCCCCATTGACTGGTCATCAGCACCAGTTGTTGGACAGGTAATCACAGCGCTGATTGCTGGAGTCCTCTTGGCATCGCCCTGGTCTTCCCTCTCTGGACTGTTGGAGTCAGAGACTCCAGCTATTCTAGGCAATCTCATCACATATCAAGTAGATGCCACAAGAACATGTCACTAGCTTGGCAACCTCAATGGCAATCCCCTCCCCTTTGGCCCTTTTGGACCTCCTCCTGCCAAGGAAGAATACAGAGAGAGTCCCGCCCCAGCAGCAGCCAGTAGAGTCTGAGCCTCAGGAGGCCCCTATGCCACTGCTTGACACCTTCTGTACCTCACTTGATGGCAGGAGCATCGGCAGCAGGGCCCCACCCATCAATCACAAGGCCCACTGGGACCTTTGCCGAATTGCCCAAAGTATGGGCCTACAGGGTGAGGAAGTTGAGGCAGAAGACCCCATGATTAACATTTTAGCCCCAGAGGGGGCTGATCAGGGTTGCGTTGCCTCTGCTTAAGTCTATTCAGAACACAACAAAACCTTTTGGGAGTTATCAGCCTCCATCCCGCCCAGTGCCAGGGGAGCTGAGAGGAAATACTTCATCCCTTCCAAGGGATATGAGTATCTCTTCTTCCACCCACATCCTAGCTCCATAGTCATTTTGGCAGGGAACAAAAAGTAGTGCAAAGGCCAGCAGGTCCAGTGCCCAAATCCAAGGATGTTAAGCGCATGGATCTTTTCAGAAGGAAGGTCTGTGTCATGGGTGGCCTCCAGCAGAGGGTAGGTAATCAATAGGTATAATTCTTGGTCTTCAGAGAGCAAATTTATTGAGCTGTTCCAGGTTGAATTGAGAGCAGAGTGCTCAGCCTTAGTCAAAGAAGGGAAAATAGTGGTGAGGACCTAGCTACAAGCGTCCCTAGACTCTGCAGACTCAGCCATGAGAACTATTTCCTTGAGAGTGATTATGAGAAGAACCTTGTGGCTTCAGGCATCTGAGTTGCCCCATGAGGTCTGACAGACCCTCCAGGACCTTTCATTCGAAGGAGGAGGGTTGTTTTTGGATCAAACAGACTGAAGGCTGCATAGACTTAAGGCTCTGAAATCGCTGGGGATGCATGTACTTGGGATTCAGCACAAGCAGTTAAAGCCCCAGCTGCAGCAGCAGCAATATCAGCCTTGTAAAAAACAGGACTTCTACCACAGGAAGTGTAGAAACACCTGGTGCAGGCCTGGGGGCCAGCCTTCAGGAAAGCCACAGGGTCTGACCAAATCATTGGGTGCCAAACAAGGCATTTGAAGGTGCACTCGAGAATGGCATACCAGACCCACCACCAGATCCTTCCCCATGGCTTTGTTTTTTTAATCATCTATCTCACTTCTACTGTGCATTGGGCCCTCATCACTTGAGACTACTGGATTCTTTGCTCGGTGGAAGTTGGATATTTTCTCCAGTTCCCTTCTTCCTCACCCTCCTATCACCTTTCCCTGTCCTTTTGGGGACATTTCTCACAAGCAGTTGCTTACACCGGAGGTGCAATCACTCCTTGCCATAGGAGCAGTGGAGGAGGTTCCTTGGGCGCTTAAGAGGCAAGGGATTTTACTCCCAGTATTTCCTCATCCCCAAAGCAAAGGGGTGTCTCAGACCCATACGTGATTTGTGAGAACTCAATCAGTTCGTGTAAAGCTGAAGTTCTGCATGATCTCCCTGAACAACATCATACCTTCCTTGGATCTGAGACTGGTACACTGCCTTAGACATGAAGGACACGTACTTCCATAGAGTCATTCTGCCATCACAGAGATGCTTCCTCAGATTTGTAATCAATCAGAAACATTATCAGTTCACTGTGCTCCTAGCTTGGTCTGTCAACACTCTCCCTCTCATATGTTCACCAAGCGCATATTGGTGGCAGCAGCCTTTCTCTGCCAGACGTGAGTTCAGGCGTATCCCTACCTAGATGACTGGTTGCTGTGGGGATGCTCCAGAGAGAAGGAAGAATTCTAAGTACAGCTACTCAGAGATACTTTCCCCAGAATGGAGCTCATCTTAAACCTGGGGAAATCCACCCACATATCAGCCTTGAGAACAGAATTCAGTGATAGCACTGGACTCAAAACAGGCAAAAGAAGTGCTGCCGATTCCCAATTCCAAGCCTGATCACAGATGCTTCATGGGTAAACCCCTTAGAGTGCCAATGCTCTCAGTCAGTGAGGGAAGTCCTTCTTGGCAGGGGGAAACCTTCCACCAGAGCCACTTACCTTGCTAAATAAAAGAGGTTCTCAATGCTGGTGTGAGCAGTGTCGCCTACCTCCGCTCCAGGCATCCATACCATTCGTTCTAGAATACCTGCTCCACTTAAAGCAGCAGGGCCCGGTGGGATCATCTATCAAGGTGCACCTAAGGGGCCATCTAGCATTCCACCCCTGGGAGCTGGGGTGCTCAGTATTCATCAATCGCATGGTAGTGCACTTCCTCAAAGCCCTAGAGTAGCTATGCCCACATTCACGACGACCTATACCTATCTAGGATCTCTGCCTAGTCCTCTCTAAGATCATGGGTCTACCCTTCAAGCCCCTGGCCACATGCTTCCTTCATATATCTCTCATGGAAGGTGGTGTTTCTAGTGGACATTACATCAACCAGGAGGTTGTACAAATTGAAAGCTCTGACTTGTGAACCTCTATACGCCATCTTTCATAAAGACAAGGTACAGCCTTACTGCTTAAGGTTGTATCTCCATTCCATATGGGACAGGACATTTTTCTGCCAGTATTCTACCTGAAACCATACACTAACGCATGTCAGCAGAGGCTTCGCTCTCTGGATGTCTGAGGAGTGCTAGCTTTCTACATCGAGTGCACAAAATCACTCAGAAAATGAAGTGGCAGCAGCCCAAATGAAAGGTCTCCCAGTCTCATTGTAACGCATCTCGTCTTGGATCTCTGCTAAGGTTCCAGCTCAAATGATCACAGCACATTCAACAAGAGTGCATGCCTCCTCAGCTGCCTTCCTGGCATAGATCCCATCCAAAAGATCTTCAGAGTGGCAACCTGGTTCTCAGTGTACACATTTACCATTCACTATGCCATCAGCCAGCAAGTCAGAGATGATGCAGCAGTTGGCAGAGCAGTCCTCCAATCAGTCATTCCTTAACTCCAATTCCACTGTCAGGGCGGGATGGGGATCTTGGGAATCACCTCATTGGAATCAACATGAACAAGCACTCGAAGGGGAAAAAATAGTTATTCACCTCTTGTAACTGTTGTTCTTCGAGATGTGATATTCATATCCATTCTAATATCCATCCACCCCATCCCACCCCCATTGGAGTAGTTGGCAAGAAGGAACCGGGGGGGAGGGGGAAAGTGTCGGGTTGGCAGGATGATATACAGTGTGCCATGAAGACGCTGCTCCAGGAGCTCCATGGCTGTCCCAAAGGGAGCTGCTGGGGAGGAAAGTTTCCGGTATCTGTGCATGCAACACACACACAACTGATTTACAATGGATGTGAACAACATATCTTGAAGAATAACAGTTATGAGAGGTGAGTAACCCATCTTTTTCATGAAATATTTCCATTGTAGTGATGGAAAAATCTTTTATCAGTAAAACATGTCAGTGCTACCTGAAGCAAATAGCCAGTCTAATATTTATAAAAACCTTTATGGTCTTCTAGTAAATGTAAGTTTAAATCAAACCAGTTATGAGCTGAAACCATAATGTGATAAAATTTATTTAATTTTGTCAAAATTGCTCTTTCAGTATTGCTTTTATCTAATAGGCCTGAAGAGCAATCGGTCCCCTTTGATCAAGTTCAGGATGTGAATTTACCAATTAGTCTTCTTTCATCATGTAATAAACATTTGAGAGAGTAATTTTTTATATAGCTTTTGTATTTCACTCGGTGTACTTGGTGGATATTTACATGTTAACGGCTGGTCTGACTTAGTTCCATATACCTTTTCATCTCCTTATTTTTCTGCATGGGAGAACTAGTGTGTGGATTCTGCTTGTAAAATTTCCAAATCCCATGGCCATGCACTGGCTGTCATGAAGTCATAAAGTGCAATGTCTAATATATTTATGTGTACTGCCACAAGGAGGCAGACTGAGCCAATGAATATAGGCCTACCTGGATATAGGGGAAATGAAGGGCAGATATACCCATCTATGCTAAGACTGCCATTTCCAATGCCTGATAAGCTGTATCCTCCATATCTTCTGTTTGTGCCAGGGTGCAGTCTGACTGATTGCATCTGAAAATGACAATGGTATCCTCCCACACAAAAGACAAAGCACTGCTGTTGTCAAAAAGCAGTGAACAGTAAAAATTGCTCTCTGCTGTTGGCCATCTGAAAGGCAAATCTTCCCAATAAGAAATGGGTGAAGAAAAAAGTTCCTTTGCTGCATTACAGAGGCACTCAAACTTGCTCAGAGGGATCTTCTTTGATATTGCTGCACTTCACAGTGGAGACAGACTGGTGTTAATGAAAAGCCTATCTGTGCCTAACATTATTGACAATTCAATTTGTACACAAAGATGTGATGAGAAATGAGTTACACTTGAAAGTATGTGTCAGCAACATCTACCTCATCCTGGAGAATGATTTATTCTATTGAGAAATAAGAAAAAATCCCTCAGGAGTATGAATGCCTGGAAATGAAGAATTGAAGGATGTACAACCACTTTGGTAATTAGTTATTTGTATTGTAGCATTGTCTAATGGCCTGAAATAAGAGTGGGATCCCACTGTGGCAAGCTTTGCCCAAATATTCAACAAAGGAAGTCCCTGACACAAGGGGCTCACAACAGAATATAAAATTAATAACCATGTATTCTTTTTTCAGTTACAATTGCCCCATGCGTATTACACTGTCCCACGCAACCTACATTATTCACTCTGAAAAAAATAACAATGTTAGATAAAGAAAAAATAACATTCTATTTAATTAGAACTAAAGATTTAGACTAGATTAGCATTTCTCAAATGTGGCCACCGTGGTGCCCATGGTTAACTATTAGGGGCTTCTCTTGCAGCCATGCCCTCCTGGGTGATGACTGGGAGAGGTGGCAATGGAGCAGCCTCTCCTCTGTCCGCCATTCACCATTAGAGGTTGGGCCTTGTTCCCCCCCTTTGCGGACACAGAGGCTGGAGGAGCAGGCAGCCAAAGAGTTCCTTACCTTCCAGGATCAGTGCTATCAGGTTTCAGCCCTGGATCCTCAGGCAGCAGGCTTCAGCCATGCAGAAATGAGCTCTGTCCCCAACCCCAAACTACTCCGCAGGCCTTTGAATTCTGTCTCTAGGCTCCACCTGTCCCCTCCCCTGGTCACAAGGCTCCAGGCTCAGCACCCCTCCCCTCATCACCCCTGTGTTTTGCTGCTTTCTCTGGCCCAGGGCTTTCAGCCACACAGTGGTGGGCTCTGGCCCTGGTCTTACCCCAGGTACCGCTGGTCTTCACTGCCTTGTCTGACCCCTGACTTCAGCTTTGTGAGATTTATTGACCCTTGCCCCACACTCCGTCCCTCTCCAGTACTTAGCTTGTCCCCAGGCTTGCCAGGGCTGAACAAGTCTGCTGTGAAATATATGTTTGTTAATATCACTTTTCACAGCAAACTTAGTAGCTACCTGGGATTTCACACCACCAGACTTACTACACTTAAATCTAAAATTAAAAAGCAACCAAAAAACGTAAAGAGCTAACAAAAAAGACAAGAACATGCAAAGCACCTTATTTGTGTTTCTCTTCTGTTTAGATTCTGTAAAGAATAGACACAACTGTATGTTTTTATTATTGAGTCTTCATAAAAAACCTTACGAAATAAATTACAGTGATTTGGACATATATGTACATATTTTCTTTTCCTAAAGTTTAAGTATTTTAGGAAATTGACCGTGTTCACCAGCAAGAGTTGGTGGTCACATCCTGATGCCATGAGAAAAATTTGAGAACCCCTGGACTAGATGACCCTGGCTGTCCATTCTAACTTGATTGGGTTCTATTCCCAAGGGTAATTTGTTTATGTTGGAACTAGTGTGTTGTGCTGTTTGAAAGTGTTTTATATCTATAGAGCACTGGCAAAAAAAAAACCTGTGGCTGAGAAAAAAACATTATGGAATTATGAAATGTGTTGATGGTGGTGTAAAAGTTAACTGGTACATGTTACCTAAATTAACTAACAAACATTTGTATTGCTTTTAAAAAAGTGTACTACATATATTAGAGCCATATCACACTGAAAATAGACCTCTTGGTACAGAAATGTTTGGGGCTTGTTTTTTTTCCCCCTGTTTTCCTAGTAATATGTTTTCAACTTTGTACGTATTTATGCAAACTGAAGTTTTGGCTGGAAGGTGTAAGTTCATCAGGTGGCAGTAAGTGAAAAGAGTATGTGGCATGAGTGTGTATTGTTTCTTTCATTTTTCCCAAGCCTAGTAGATTAGTGCCTCTGAATGCTTCTGCAATATAAATAATGAGGAAAGTGGCTTCATCCCTTAACTGATTTTAAGATTTGAGGATTTTTAAGGCAGAAGCACTAGAATACATTTGCAGTGGGACAGGATAGGCGCTATCGCTATATGCTTTCAAGATCAACTCATTCCTAATTAAGTTTGTGCATTTCCTTGCTAATGTTGAAATGTTGATTTTTATATGATTTGCAATAGAGAGCATGCCCTATGAGACAGATTTTATGAAAACCAATGAGACAGCTTCTTTCCTCCAGATGTTAGCATGACCATAGAACATCAGTGGGCAACCTAAGCTAGTGAGAGGGCTGCATGAAAGGTCCTCCATCTCAGTAGGCCTCAAGATGGTCATAACCCAGATGATCTCTTGGGATAGGGTAGTTTTGCTTACTGTGCTTGCGTGCTTAGAATTTTCAGGATGTGCCGATTGAACTATAGCGGTGGTTTAAATGGATAAAGAAGGAGTGCACGGCTCTCAGTCAGTGTTGTGTGCAATCCGCAAACACCTCATTTCATGCACTTTTGTTTTACGTGTGTCACATTAGTAATACAAGTAGGAAAAAACTACGCAGGTGGAAACCATCAGAATCTGGCAACCTTGCGTGTGGACAATGGAAAACAAAATGTCTTGCAGGCCACATGCAGCCCACTAGCTGCAGGTTGCCCACCACTGCCATAGAAACAGTGTGGGCAGAATTGCATGTGGGCAGAATCAAGCTGGTCACAATAGAGGAAAAGGAAAGGCTTGTATCTGTGTGATCATGTAATGAATGATTACATACCAACCATTTATTTGATCTACTGCAATCATATCAAAAGAAAGGTCTCTCAATCTTTCAATATTCTTCCTCCAATCCCAAAATACTAAGAAGCACTTCATCATAGGAGAACAAAAAGCAAAAACATTGAAGTTCCTTGACAGGGCCCCTTAGAAGAGATTGAGCTCAAAAAGTATTAGAAAGTTTTTCCAAAAATAAGTTTCAGCTAAATTATTCAGAGTACACAACTTATCTCCTTGGATCAGTGTATAACTATCACATTTATCAGAGAATTTCTTTGCTGATTTTTTCACTAAGCTTCCCCCCAATAGCCATGTACCTGGGGTGAGATGCAATATATGGAACGGCAACACAACTGATGTGTTTTTGGAGAAGTTGGAGGTGGCTGATCTTGGCGTGTCAGTGAGTGCTGCAGTCCATTGATAAACATTTATTTAGTTGAATGGAGCTTATGACACATGGACACTGAAACAAAGAAGCCTCAAGCTGCAAAATCTCTATTAGAGCTATAATTCAAAATCAAAAAGGGATTAAGGTACCATAGGGCAAGGGTTCCCAAATTTTTTGACACGTGGACCAGTAAATTCATTCCTGAGCTTTTGGAGGACCGGTAACATTCATTTTCATGTTTGAATATTCAAATAAGTTGTTTCTGGTCCTCCCAAAGCCCCCAGTTCCAGCTTTAGCAAAGCTTTTGATACGGTCACCCACAATATTCTTGCCAGTAAGTTAAGGGAATATGGATTGAATAAATGGACTGTAAGATGGATAGAAAGCTGGCTAGACCGGGGTTTCCCAAACTTTTTACTTTAGTTGGTACTCTAGGAGGTGGGAGCAGGAGCAGATTGGCGGTAGGGTATCTGGCTAGGAGGGAGGGTGCAAGGAGGGGTAGGGTTGCCAGGTGTCCAGTTTTGTACTGGACAGTCCCATATTTGAGGGTTCTGACTGGGAAACAAATTGAGAAAATATCGGACATATAAAATGTCCGGTATTTTCTAATTAGGTAAGTTTTATTATTATTAGGTGTATCAGTCTGGGCGCTACTGGACCAACCCAGCAGCACCCCAGCTGCTCT